GCACCCTGCAGAATTTTATAGCATGCACTGCCCCCTTTGCCAAGCTGAGACCTGCCAGTGTCATGGATTGTTCTCAATCATCGTCTGGGAAGACCAGGTGATGTCAATCTCAAAGGTTTTAAATGCCCAGACTCATCTGACCTTGCCCCAACAATCAGCACCATGGGTTCTTCTAAGCAGTTGTCTAGAAAACTGAAACTGAAAATAGTTGACGCTCACAAAGCTGGAGAAGGCTATAAGAAGATAGTAAAGTGTTTTCAGATGTCAATATCCTCTGTTCGGAATGTAATTAAGAAATGGCAGTCATCAGGAACAGTGGAAGTCAAAGCAAGATCTGGAAGACCAAGAAAAATATCAGACAGAACAGCTCGCAGGATTGTGAGAAAAACAATTCAAAACCCACGTTTGACTGCACGATCCCTCCAGAAAGATCTGGCAGACACTGGTGTTGTGGTACACTATTCCACTATAAAGAGATACTTGTACAAATATGGTCTTCATGGAAGAGTCATCAGAAGAAAACCTCTTCTACGTCCTCACCACAAAAATCATCGTTTGAACTTTGCAAATGAACATATAGACAAACCTGATGCATTTTGGAAACAAGTTCTATGGACTGATGAGGTTAAAATTGAACTTTTTGGCCGGAATGAGCAAAGGTACGTTTGGAGAAGAAGGGGCACAGAATTTAATGAAAAGAACCTCTGTCCAACTGTTAAGCATGGGGTTGGATCAATCATGCTTTGGGGTTGTGTTGCAGCCAGAGACACAGGGAACATCTCATGAGTAGAAGGAAAAATGGATTCAATAAAATTTCAGCAAATTTTGGATGGATGGTAACTTGATGCCATCTGTGAAAAAGCTGAAGTTAAAGAGAAGATGGCTTCTACAAATGGATAATGATCCTAAACACACCTCGAAATCCACGGGGGATTACATCAAGAGGCGTAAACTGAAGGTTTTGCCATGGCCTTCACAATCTCCTGACCTCAACATAATTGAAAATCTCTGGATAGACCTTAAAAGAGCAGTGCGTGACAGACAGCCCAGAAATCTCAAAGAACTGGAAGACTTTTGTAAGGAAGAATGGGCAAAGATACCTCAAACAAGAATTGAAAGACTCTTGGCTGGCTACAAAAAGCATTTACAAGCTGTGATACTTGCCAAAGGGGGCAGTACAAGATATTAACTCTGCAGGGTGCCCAAACTTTGGCAGATGCCATTTTTTTGTTTTCTGTTATTTTGAAAGTGTAAATGATGGAAATAAAATCTAACTTTTGTTGACATATTATAGGAATGTCTAATCTGTAATTTGATGCCTTTTGGAGATTTTTCCATCTTTCCTTGGCTTCTTTATGCACATTAATACAAATTTTTAGCTGGGGTGCCCAAACTTTCAATCCCCACTGTTCACTTGCACAACAACTGTTCTCCAGTTAACTATCGACAACTTCACTGTTGACTTGCAATTTGGACGGACACACTTTGCCTTGGCCACATCCATCTGTCTAGCGTTTTCCACTACTTCTGTTGGTAGCAGAACAGAGCCCCAGGACATGGGCTCCGTATGTGCACTTGACTTATATCTTGAACTTCTGTACCTCTTTACAGGAAGGGAATCTCTGCGGTGCTGATCCACTCCTGATACTATGGGAGACAGACCGCTGGTGGAAGGAGTGCCGACAAAATCTCCCTCACTGCTGGAGGCCATCTCATCTGCAGCAGGTACATGCCAAAGACAGGCTGCTTGACTGACTGCTATCTTCCATTACCCTAGGTAACCACTTGCTGTACTGCATCAGGATGACTCCTTAAGTGCTGTCTTAATACCCCAATGTGCCCAGTGATCCAAAGCTGTGCACTAAGTGTAAAATGTGCTGGGTATTTTCCGGTTATTTTCATTTTAACAGTTTACTTAGACATGTGCCAGAAACCAACATGCAAGAATAGTCCTTTTTCCTACGTTCCTAAACCTTAACTCAGGCTTGTGTGCTGCCCTGGCATATCTGCAAAAGGCAAAGTCCATCAGTGGTAAGTCCATTGGTATAAACAGAGTCCAGCAGCTGGTGTCTTCGGGGTGAACCCAAGACTCAGATGGCTTCCTACATTAGGATGGGTTCCAAGATGACAGAAAGGTGTAATGCCATTCTCTTTCAGGCCAAGGATTCATGACAAGACCCCCGAGCTCTGGACCACTATCCCTTTTATAACCCCAGAATCAGTGAGTCAGACCCAAAAAGCCCGGCAAACAGAAAACCTGAAAACGCAGGTTAACCCTAACCCTCTGGGACAGCACCTAGCTAGCTAGATTACAACTCGCTTACAGGCAAAGCAATAGGATAGCTTTAAGCTAGCCATGCACAATAAAGTCTGACTGTAAAATTCTCTTTAAGTCAACCATACATAAATCGAAACTTGGCTGGATTAGTAGAGAACGGCCAAAGTTCGATCCATGTATGGGCAAGCTGGTTGTACAGAAGTCGATCTATCGATTGACTTTTGTACAACCACTCTGTCAGGTTTTTCCTGATCAATCAGTTCTACCTGTAAAAGCCAGTGGCACTGATCAGTGTATTCTGACGGCTGGGAAGTTGCCCACTGTCAGAATCCAATACCTCAACAGGAAGGATTTCCCCATCCACAATGAATTTGTGTATGAGGGAATCTGGACTTTTTTTTTATTCAGCCCACTGGTTGAATGGGAAAAAAATGACTAATATCTGTGTAACACTGTGCATTGTTACTGAGAATGCAGAATTATATGTATCCACAAGATGGCAGCATCCAGCAGTTTTACTTGCCATAGTCCTAATTATGGGTGTTAAGAGCCTTCCAGGAGTTGTAGGCTGGAACCCATTTTCCTCACAGTAGAGCTGAAGTCAAACTACAGAGTCCATAAGCAATTGCCAAGGGGCTGGAGGATATAGGGAGACACAGGGAGAGTGGGAGTGAGACGTTGCAGTGGGAAGGAGTGTGTGTAAATCTGGGCCAAGCCAGAACTGATCAGGTTCAGCTGAGGTGTGCAGTATAATTGAGAAATATTAGAAGGAGACTGTTAAGACGAATGTTGAGTGGTGAGTGCTGCTCCTGGGATACCCTTCCTCTGCGGGAGTGCACGAGTCGCTACCACTACAGCTACATCTAAAGTTAAAGGGGCCCCCTCACCACAAGGCAACTTATGCTTTTCTGTATTGACACACAGGGATTGGGTGAGAGGGTGACTGACCCACGCTTCACTGCTACAAGTTAAATTTAGCTCTTGTTGACATCTAGACCTGTCTAGGCTATGAATATTATTCCTTGATATTGACCCTTATCAGATTTAAGCATTCTACAGCCTTTTATTGCTGCAAGCACCGTTCTCTTTTTTGCTATTGTGATCGCTGCCCACAGGTTTCTGATCTGAGCCAACACTTTGCTCCCTGCTTAGCAGATTTTTTTCTTTAGCTGCATCTATTTCGGCCCAGACCACTGAAAGAGGGTGTTTCTGCTGCCTAAGAACAACTTTATCTTTTAAGTGAACCATGCCAACAACTTCATCTCGTAAAATGAACTGTGCCAACATTTTCATCTCTTAAAATGACTTGTGCTAAAAGCTTTGGCTCTTAAAGGAAACTGTCCCATTCGTTCCACATCTTAAAGGGACAGCACCTTGCACTGCATTCCAATGTAAGGGCCCCAACTAAGCCGGCAGAAGTCTTAATTTTCAGATTATTTTTTTCACCTAGGGTCTGTTTTTTAGCAATACTGGTGTGCAGGATGTCTAACAGATTTTTAGGCTTAAACCTAGGCTCTCCTGACTGAGGGCCTACAAGTGAGCTAGCCAGTTGTTTTCTTTGGTATTCATATTTGTCTCACTTGGGGAGTGATCTCCAAGTCCGAAGGCCACATTTTTAAAGGGTACTTGACTGTGCTGTATTGTTACTGTGTTGACTCACTGTGTTTAAGGCCTAACATCTAAACCGTTGCATTGCCTTACCAAACCAAAATATTTCTACTAATACAACCTGTTTATTTTATCACAGCTGGTGTGTATGCTTCTTGTGTGACTGCTGGGAGACCCCCTGACAAAGGTATTCTGGTGGTGTTAGCAAGGGTGGGGCTTTCCTTAGGGCCAAGGAAGAACAGAGGATTCAAATCTATCAGTGGCTAGTTTGGGGGTAGCGCTACGTATGGGCTACCTTAGATTTACCAAAAGGACAATATGAGGGCCTACCTAAACTGTCCATTCAATGTTTCCAAAAAGGCAGACCTCTACACTACAATAGTAAAGGACAGTATAGTAGTTGGCAGACCTAAAAATGTTTGTACAATCAGATTATAGCATGTATGGTCAGTACAGTACAGCTTTAGTAAATAAAGAGCAACATTCAGTTACGTTTTGAATCTGTAGTTTTCTGTGTTTTGAATGCCATAAACTATGCTCAAAATAGGTTTTAGATTACCGTATTTTTGCTCCATAAGACGCACCTGGGTTTTAGAGAAGGAAAACAAGAAAAAAAAAGATTCTGAACCAATGGACTGCAGACATAGTACAGGAGATGACCAGAGACTGCGGACATACTACAGGAGATGACCAGAGACTGCGGACACAGTACAGGAGATGACCAGAGACTGCAGACATAGTACAGGAGATGACCAGAGACTGCAGACATAGTACAGGAGATAACCAGAGACTGCGAACATACTACAGGAGATGACCGGAGACTGCGGACATACTACAGGAGATGACCAGAGACTGCGGACATAGTACAGGAGATGACCAGAGACTGCAGACATACTACAGGAGATCACCAGAGACTGCGGATATAGTACAGGAGATGACCAGAGACTACGGATAGAGTACAGGAGATGACCAGAGACTGCGGACATACTAGAGGTGATGACCAGAGACTGTGGAAATACTACAGGAGATGACCAGAGACTGCGGACATAGTACAGGAGATGACCAGAGACTGCGGACATATTACAGGAGATGACCAGAGACTGCAGACATACTACAGGAGATGGCCAGAGACTGCGGACATACTACAGGAGATGACCAGAGACTGCGGATATAGTTCAGGAGATGACCAGAGACTGCAGACATAGTACAGGAGATGACCAGAGACTGCGGACATAGTACAGGAGATGACCAGAGACTGCGGACATATTACAGGAGATGACCAGAGACTGCAGACATACTACAGGAGATGGCCAGAGACTGCGGACATACTACAGGAGATGACCAGAGACTGCGGATATAGTACAGGAGATGACCAGAGACTGCAGACATAGTACAGGAGATGACCAGAGACTGCGGACATAGTACAGGAGATGACCAGAGACTGCGGACATAGTACAGGAAATGACAAGAGACTGCGGACATAGTACAGGAGATGACTAGTGACTGTGGACATACTACAGGAGATGACCAGAGACTGCGGACATACTACAGGAGATGACCAGAGACTGCGGACATAGTACAGGAGATGACAAGAGACTGCGGACATAGTACAGGAGATGACCAGAGGCTGCGGATATAGTACAGGAGATGACCAGAGTCTGCAGACATACTACAGGAGATGAGCTGCAGAGAAGAGCCGAGCGGTCGGCTCAGTATTCTGACACGGTGGTGGGAATACCAGGCCAGCCACTCCATATTCGCTCCATAAGACGCACAGACACTTTCCCTCATTTGGGGGGGGGGGAGTGTGTCTTATGTAGCACAAAATATGGTAAATAATTTGTACAGGACACCAGGGATGGGTCCTGGATGGCAGGTATAGGGATGGCAGGGGGATGGTTTGAAGGCAATGTTGAGCACTCAGGGGTTTTCACCCATGCAGAGTGAGGGGTTCTGGGGTAGTCCGGCTTGAGAGATGTGGACTGATTATCAGTACTCTCTAAATTGCTAAGACCGTGTTAGGGACCCGAAATTTAGGAGGTCCAAAAAGGTTTGGATGAGAAGAACCTCCAAACCCTGATTACATGGATTTTGGTCCTGAAAGAGTTACCCTGGTACATCAGTGTCCAGAAAAAGAAGAAACAGTGGGCATTTGTCTGTGAGGGAGAGAGCAGGACACACCTGAGTGAGCAGGATGGAGTAGCTTTGTACTAGGTCAAGGTCGCCGAACTGTGAAAACCTCCTCTTTGGGACCCCTGAAACAGACGGGGAACCCCAAACCCTGTATAGTGGTGGTGGGCCAATCTGTTATTTTTCTTTACATCAAAGTTATGGACTATTTTGTGTTCATTGGCTGAACAAAGCTGTTTCATTTTCTGGATTGTTTACAAGTTTAGTAAAGACTGTCAGTTTTACAAGCAGCGTGATACTGAGCTTCCATGTCATAAGTGGTGCTCGGAAGCGGGCAATCTAGACATACAAGCCTCTTGAAGTGACATTTAAAGGACCAGCAGGAAACCTCAGTGGAAGCAAACCACCGCCATGAGGAGACCTTGACCTTCTTGATATAAGCCAAGCAGGCACCATATCTGGAGGCTCAGAAGAGGTCTATGAAGGCGCAGTTGAACACTTTAGCAGATTGCTTGAAGGGAGTCGTTGCCTCTAGCGACCAAGTGACAGGGCCAGTCACTTTCTACAAAAGCTTACCACCCATGATGACAAGGAGACCTTCCTGACCACATTTGAGCATACGACCGAGAGAAAGGGGTGGCCTCAGAACCAGTGGGCTAGCTTCATCATCCTGTTCCTATCAGGGGAATCACAGAAGGCCAATATGACCTACAGTTTGCCAATGCCAAGGATTATACAAGATTAAAGAGGAAGATTATAGCCCACCTTGGAGTGACTGTTGCTGTGTGGATACACAGAATGCATTGTTGGAGGTATCATGCTGGCTACTCACTGCAGTTCTAAATGCACGACCTGTTGCAGCTGGCCACCAAGTGGCTACAGCCAGAGATGATTTGATTGACCACAGACCCTGGAATGGGTCACCATGGACTGTTACTTAAGGGTGCTGCCAATGGAGATGCAGCTCTGTGTCAGACATTGGAATCCACAGGCAATGGACCAACTGGTAGAAATGGTACACTGTGGTGAAGGATCTACTTGGACATATAAAATCCCGAGGAGAGTTAAGCCACCCACAAACTTTGGAACTGACATTTATGAGAGCTATGGAGCGAACATCCCAGAGCTCTGCTCTAGCATGAAAGAACGAGAATGTGCCGTGTGGGCAGTGTCATTCCCAGGGACCCCTTTCCAGGTAGAATGGTAATACTTGTCCATACTGGGGTAACTGGGAAAATAGGCTCTGTTTCTAAGACCCTGCGGGTGGTATGTATATACTAATACCTGCTGATACCAGTAATAATTACATTGGCATGTGGCATGGTTACCCAGAAGGTTGAGTGATGTCCAACCTCATACACCATATCATTAGGGGATAGCACTGTCCTTTATTTGTGTAACTCTAGGACTGTGTGAGTACAGGATAACTGTACTATTCTCTTTGATAGGCTGGACATTGGAACTTTAGAAAGTATTAACAATGTTGCACCTGTGACAGTCTACAGGCTAAGAAGACCCGGGGGGGGGGGGAATCCTCTCTTATGCAGGTTATGGTTGGGGAGAAAGTAGAGGAAACCTCCTCATTACTGTACAGGTTATGTCCAAGGAGGATTGGGGGAAGATTCCTCCAATCCTGTAGATCCTAAACTAGAAGTGTCATTGGGCACATTTGGTTTCCCCCAAATGAGAAACCCCACATTAAAAAATGCCTGGGAAATGCCTGGGAACAGGTTACTGTGAATAATTGAGTGCCACAAGTAGCTGAGGCCAAGAAAAGGTTTCCCCACTTTGCAGCTGTTAGTCATTTGGTTTACCAAGTCACCGAAATTCAGGGTAAGATGGTCGACCAGCTACTGGTCCCCCAGCCTTTCACAAGCATAGATCTCGACATAACAAGCATAACATTACATTGGGAGGTCACCTGGGGGCCAAGAAAACAGAGACACAGATAACTGACTGGTTCTACAGGCCAGTAGTCAACCCTTTGGTGCCTCTGCCCATTATCAAGGTACCATTTGAACAGATTGTGATGGATCTGGTAGGCCCCTTAGTGAAACTGCTTGGGGACATCAATACATCATTGTGGTACATGGTTATGCTACAAGGTATCCAGAGGTGGTCCCTCTGAGGAAGACCTTCACAAAAACAACTGCCAGAGAGTTGTTCTTCAAGACTGGGTTCCCTAAAGAGATTGTAGGTCAAGTGTGATGATAGAGCTACAGTATGTACAGTTCTTTCAGATCAAAGAGTTGCATACTTCTGTCTACCACTCATAGACAGATGGGCTGTAATTTATTTTATTTTTTTTAATATTATATCTTTTATTAAATTTTTTTTTCCCAATACATGAATCAACAATATGTCATTTATCAAAAACACATACATTCCACATAACTTCTCTAACCCCATCCCATCCCTTATCCCTGCCCCCTATTAAATTACCCCTGTCCAAGTAGATCCATCAAACTCTTTCCTTCCCTGTTTACCAGTCTATATCTGAAACCCTGTTTTCTCTCTTTACTTTTCAACTATCCAGTTATTCAGTTTAATTCTCCAACTCTACTACCAGGGCACCCATCAATTCGAGGTATTTTTCAGATGTTTAAAATCATACCACCTACTAAAATCCTTTCTAAATGTATACATTTTATCTTCATCTATATGGTATAGCGCCTCCATTTTATTTATATACTCAATCCTTTTTATCCAGTCTCTCATTGTTGGAGGGTCCTGTACCTGCCAGAATTTAGGGATTAGACCTTTTGCCACACTAATTAGATGATATAATATACTAATTTTATATTGTTTCACTGACATCTCTGACCTATAAAATAGGCACACCCACCGGTCCTTCTGAATAGTTATCCATAAAATCTCCTGTATATATTGAATTATATCTTGCCAAAACACCTGTATTTTTGGGCAATCGACAGGTGGTCTGTTTGAGCAGTTTAATAAAACCCTAAAATCTATGCTTAAGAAGGGTGTGCATCTGGTTCACCATGCTTAAATAGTTCCAGATCGGGGACCGGGGGGGTTATGTTCATACCTACAACAGAAAGTAAGTTGCTGACAAGGTGGCAGGGGTCATTTCAGGTGGTAGAAAAGGTTGGAGAGGTAAATTATAAAGTACACCAACCTGGGTGAGTGGAAGCTATACCAAATATAACACATGAATCTGTTAAAACCTTAGAAAGACTAAGAGCAGGTAGTTGCCTTTGCTGAAGTTAGTTCTAAACTCTCTGTAGGGGTGAACTTAGTCTCAGTTTCCACCATCTTGTCCAAGCCACAAAAGCAGCAGACAAAAGAGTTTTTACAGCAGAATAGGGAAATGTGCTCAGGACTGCCAGGTCTTACCAAGGTGATTGAGCATGACATTGTCACAGAACCTGGTGTGAAGATCCGAGTAAAACCCTTCCACATTCCAAAGGCACACAGTAAAGCAGTGTTGGAGGAAGTTCGAAAGATGCTACAACTCAATATCATCAGGGAATCGCAGGTTGAATGATTGAGTCTGATTGTGTTGGTACCAAACCCCAAAAGGACTCTGCAGCTTTAAATGATTTTGGAAAACTCAATGAGGTATTGAAGTTTGATGCATTTCTGACATCTCAGAAAGACAAACTGCTAGAGGGATTTGGGTCATCCCAGTATATTACCATCCTAGTCCTTGCCAAGGGGTACTGGCAGATAGCTTTAACTAAGGGAGCCAAAGAAAAGACCACATTTTCAACTACAGAAAGTAATTTCCAGTGTGTATAAAATAACTGTCTGGCTTGCATTCTGCCCCGGATACTTTTCAGAGAGCAATAGATAAAACACTACTCCCACATCGGAAATACAGCTCAGGGAATTTAGACAACATCAGCAACTTTAGTAGTGACTGGGAGTCCCATATTTCCAAGTGCAGGCTGTCCTGGATTCTCTAAAGAAGGAGGGATTTACTTTTAATCTGAAAAAGTGTGCCATTGCTATGAAAAAGACCAAGTATCTGGGGTTACATTGTGGGCAGGCATTTGGTGAAATCTTAGATGGACAAGGTAGAGGACTTTTAGGCTTGGCCCTGGTCACGTAGAAACAGGTCTGAGCCTTTCAGGGCATTGTTGGGTACTACCGTCAGTTTGTCCCTAACATCACCACTATTGCTGCACCTCTCACTGACTTTTCAAAGGGTAAGAAGTTAGTCATGGTCAAGTGAAATGACAAGGCTGATGAGGCTTTCCAGAAGCCTAAAGGAGAAGTACAGACAAAGCTCTTTAGGCTGTACTTCTCCTGTGGATCACAGGAGTGCAGTTCATTCTGTACTCCTGTGACCCATTTTCAGCTGACAGCAGGCTGAAGCCCACTGTCGGTTCACGTCACTCAGCCATCCAGGCTGGGGAAAGATCTTGACACTAAAGTCGGGATCCACCCCAGAGTCTGGAGTGGCACTTGGCTTAGCTTCTCAATGAGCTGCTGAGAGCCTGAGCCAGCCGCATCCTCCCCCTCCACAGCCCAGCACTCCAATGAGCATGGAGGGGAGAGAAGCAGACAGTGGTGACTGACAGTCACCACTATCTGCTCACAGCGGCAGTGAGAACTCAATGATCAGTGGTCATGTGAATGCTGAGTTCTCACACTTAGAGCCAGCTTGGGACAGATGTAGCATCGGAGCTAAGTTAAGTCCACCAACGTACGTAGAATTTGGGGGTAAAAAAACCTATACTCTCTTTTCAAACTATAAAAATATAAAAGTGCAGCGCTATAAATTATATGGTCATACGACCAGTCTATGAATTAACAGCAGATAATCATAAATAAAAAATGACCAGTATCTATAAAATGAAGGTGACAGTCTGTGCAGTGATAGATATTCCTCTTTAGATCAGTGGTGGTGTTCCAAGTAATATAGAGAGATTACGCACTCACCAGATGCGCAATGTAAATGCGCATTATGAAAAACCAGCAGAAGCCTCCTTTAAAGGTCTGGTCTGGGATAGAGAAAATCCTCTCTCTGAATGGGTGATAAGGTCAGGAA